GGTTAGAGCAGCAAGATATTTTCCCTCCCTCATTTATTACCTTTTTTAATTGTTTTGCTTCATTTTGTTTTGTTTTCCCCAACTTTTGAGAAGCTGGCTGCCATGACGTGCTGCAGATGCTATGAAAGGAACGCGCGTTCACGTTTGCCCCTGCTTCAGAAGCACGCCCCCGCTCTCCAAGTGATGGTGCCGAACTGGGTCTGCAGGAAGCTCTGTGCCCATATATAGGCATAAAGCTCACAACGACTGATCCTGCTGCACCCAGCACCGAGTTAAGTCCTGAAGCTGCTGTTTTGTTCAAATATTTGGCTATCTAAATTGTTGGCTTTTTGAGGTTTTCCTTAGGTTGATTACCAGTGGTAGCCAATTTAATCTGGAATTAGTCCAAAAGTAAGTATCAGCTAAGAGAATTTATTTTAATCTATTCACCGGTTCATGAGATATTTTGCTAACAGACAAACAGGCTACTGACCCACACTCAGTTTTACATCAGTGTGTGTAAAACCAGCTGAGTTATAGCCAGGATTGGGTATTTTAAGTTGGCTGTGGCAGCCATCTTGAAATGGGTTGACTACAAAAGTAAATTATTTCTAGATGCGGTGATTTTATTAATTAATTTATTTTTCTACAATTTTACATTGAAATATTTCAGAACAAATGTTGCTAACAGACAGACACAGACAGGCACATAATGTCTGTCTTTGCTTTTCAGCAGAAACAAAAACAGCAGTTCCATTTGGAGATGTGAAGATGGGGTCCGGAGGCTGGTGTGATCAGGCTGCAGGCTCAGGGTGGGAAAAGACCGAAGGCAGAGGTGCTGCAGTTGGATGTTTGGAAAAGAGCAGCGGCCTGTGAAATCTGGCATTCCTGATCAACAGAGCTGAAATAATTGCATTGTCCAGTGGAAAAGAGCTCCTCTGCATGAGCCCGTCCATCAGGCTGCCTCAGAGCTGGGGGCATGCAACAGACATCCTGATCCCCAAGTCAGCAGTCACACTGCTGCTTCCATCTGTTACTGAGACTACAACTGCTTCACTGGTCAAAGTGTTCAGGACTTTCAGTTCTTTTCATTTTTTATGTGTAAATGGTAAATAGACTGTACTTATATATCACCTTTGTATCCATCCAGGACACTCAAAGCTCTTCACACTACAATCTGTGTCCTCATTTATCCATTCACACAGCACTCTATTAGGTCTCTACAAAGCTAACA